AGGGAAGAGCTGAAGGGAGCCAGGAGAGGTACCAAGCCTTGTGGCGGCAAGGAGCCTGTCTGGGCTGCGTGACTCACCCGGCAGCCACGTGAAGTGGAGCTGGCATGGAAAAGCCATCTGAGGCCATGGGCTCTTCCTGGAAGACTGCTGCATGCTCGCATCCCCCCAGAGCAATCTTCACCAGCACAGTGCAGCTGCAGCCCCGTGAGTGTGCTGAGCCCTCTCCTGCAGCCACAGGACCAGGATGGCTCCAGCAGCTCTCCCAGAACAGTGGGAGGAGAGGAGAGGGTTCAGCTCCCCAGGGGAGTGGGGCCAGAACTGGCCCAGCCGGTCCTGTGGAGCACCAGAGCATCAGGGAGGCAAATCCTGGTGACGAGACAGCTCCCAGGATTGCACTGGATTGGCATTAGCAGTGGGGCTTAGAGGGACTCCTGTCCAGCCCCTGCTCCAGGCAGGATCTGTCCCACACCCCCCCTCACCAGCCCAGCTGAGGCAGACAGGCACTGTGGCTGAAATAAGCTGGTGAAGGGGAAGCAGTGGGGGAATCGCCCTTCCCTCCAGAGAGCTGGGAGACACCTCACAGGATCAGGATCAGTGCCACTGGCACTGTGGCAGGGGGTGTGTGCCAGGAACAGCCTGGCAGCTGGGACAGGGACATGATACCCAGGACACTGTGTGGGCAGGGACCTCTGCCAGCTCTAAATCCACTGCCTCGTTCCCTCCTTGCTCAAAGCAGGAGCTCAGCAGCCCTGGCAGGGCACAGCCTTACGCTCAGCAGCATATCCTGACAGCTATGTGTCTTCCAGCTGCAGCTTAAGCCCCGCGGCCTCTCTGCATCAATTCCATCTGCAAATACCCTGCACAATCAAGCCCAGATCTTAGTTTCCCCTCACCCTGATTGCTGCCCCTTTCCCCTTGGCTCTCCACATGGAGCAGACACAGCTCTGCCCCAGCAGTTTATAGGCTCAGATGACCAGCCCACGCTTCCACTGTCCTTAAAGCAGTGTGGAAGGGCCAGGCATGACAGTTTCCCAAAGCAGGGAGTAGGGATCCCCACTGTTTCCTGGCTTCCAGCAGGAGCATCTCCCAGCACTGCAGTGCTGTCCAGGCTGGGGCAGCTGTGGATCAGGCCAGCTGCCAGCCAGGAGCAAAAGGCAAGTGACGTGCCAGGGCAGCAGCCACCGGGCTGAGTTGAGGCAAGGTCAGGGCTAAATGCAAGTCATGCTGATGTGGAACCCCTCCCAGCCTCCTGCTGCTGCACATCCTGGCTCTCCATACCCACTCCCCACCCAGCAGTGACACCAAGCGTTGCTACAAGAGGGGCACCTCTCCTCTTGCATCTTTCTTGAGGTGACTACACATAAAGAGGTGGCCTGGGGCTCAGGGGACCCTGCTGCTGCCCATCCACAGCATCCACTCCCCTTTTCCATCCACCACCATCCCTCACACTGCAAACCACCACCCTGGGAATCCGACACTCTCCACAAGAGGCCTGAAGGAACTCTGTGTCCCACTGCTCAAGAGCTCAATTAGCCCCAATCAACATTTGGTCACAGCTTTCATCATCTTTCTCAGTCAAGTCTAACTATGTACTTAAGCTCAAGTACTCCTAAAGGCTTTTCCGTAACTCCCCCGTTCCCTGCTCACCCAGTGCTCCACGTCCTCCTGACTCCAAGCACTCTAAAAGCCGGTTCCACCTACAAACTTAAAGCCAAACACTGCAGAGGCAGCAACAGCAGCATTTGGAAACAGCCCAGAGGACGGTGAACCCTGTGAGGAACAGCAGCAGGGAAACTCACACGCTGCAGCACACGGAGCAGGGATTGTGCCAGAAAAAAACACAAAGCCTCTGCTGCTGGATTAGTTGTGAGGGTTTCAAGTGAACCTGCAGCATAAGCAGAGAGCTGATACACTCGTAAAATGGTGTCAGAGGTCACTTGTGCCAGATCTGAGCCACTGACAGGTTTTTGCTGTGGTCACCACCTACCTCCCATGGTCTGCTCCACAAGGAAGCGACGCAGGACACCAAAAGCACTGATTACAAACACGTCCTAATTACACTGTGCAACGAAATCCTGGAGAACACCAGAGGTCTTGGGGTAAATATAGAGATATTTGAGATTTAGAGGAGGTTTCACCTCATGTTCACCCACAGCAGAGGTGAGTTATCTTGGAGACCCCCTGAGCAGGACAGCGCTGCCCCCTGCAAGATCCTCTCATGGAGCAGTTGGCTCTGCCCATCCACTGCCAGGAACAGAGGGAGGAACCCCCTTCACAAAAACGAAGCCCCAAAGTTTGTGCTCTCTTTCACACTGGTTATGCTGTCACAAAACACAAGAGCCCTCAGTGGTGTAAGAAGGTTTATTATCATGTCTGTACAGTCCTCGGCAGATGCAGTTTAGATGATTCCAATCTGGAAAGAAGCAAAGGATGTTAAAACAGATGTTATGGTGGCAAAAAGGCAGAGCCTCCACCTCAGACATTTTTGCCACAGCTGGATCTCCCCAGGATGCCTGTCCTCCAAGGACAACTTCTTCCTCCCAGACCTGCCCAAAAGCCTTACACATCTGCTTTGTACATTTATTCCAGAGTGATCCTCATACATTCTCCTACTCCAGTTTGTACCACCACTGCCTCCTGCTGCCTCGAGGACTGAACTGACATGGAATGTGGCTGTGCTCCCAAACACTCAGATCCTGGCTACAGGGACACAGAAAGTGCCACCACGCTTGAAGCACAAGTACCTCACGTGCACAGCAGGAAGAACAATCAGCGAGGGAGACACAAGACAACCAACAGGGAGCAGTAAAGCTTCAAAGATGTCTCACCTTGTTGGCCACATCCAGTGCATCATAATCCGGAGCCAGTCGGACATAAGCCTTCTTCTCTCCGTCAGGCCTAGAGAGGAACACGAGGCATCAGAACAGAGCCAACTCCTCTCACCTGCTCTGCTTTCCCACTGTTCCCATGTGCATCAGTGGTTCCTTTGGAAACATCACTGTTACTCAGTGGAATTGAAGTTTACATCATTTGCACAGGACTCCCTGGGTGTTGGAAGAGACCCCTGACAAAGCTGACCCTCTGGTCTGCCAACACCTCCCACTTCCACCAACCTGTGCTCCCTCACAACTTGCACGTCTCAAAACTTTTAACACTGGAATCACAGAATTATTTAGGTTGGAAAAGACCTCTGAGATCATCAAGTCTAACCTTAGACCAATCACCAACTTGTCAATCAGACCATGGCACTAAGTCATTTCTTAAACACCTCCAGGGATGGCAATTCCACCACCTCCCTGGGCAGCACATTCCAATGTTTAAAAACCCTTTCCATGAAGAAATTCCTCTTGATGTCACACCTGAACATCCTCTGGCAGAGATGGAAGCCATTTCCTCTTGTCCTGGAGAGGCCATTGCTACACAGCTTTGTCCCTCTCCTCCTGAGAGTTCCCTCAGCTGCTGAAACTCACACACTCCCACTTTCAGCTGAAAAATGCTTCTTTTGAAGCACCTCACACCCACCAGTGACATGTTTTTATCCCACTTCTCACCTAATCAATGTGTTGACCTTGGCCACATCAATATCATACAACTTCTTCACAGCCTGTTTGATCTGGTGCTTGTTTGCCTTGACATCGACGATGAAAACCAGAGTGTTGTTATCCTCAATCTTCTTCATGGCCGATTCTGTGGTCAGAGGGAACTTGATAATGGCGTAATGGTCCAACCTGCAGGAGAGACCCTGTGCTTAGCAGAGGGATGGCAGGTGCTTCTCTGTACTTTGGGGGCTTTTTCTGGGGTGCATCAGTCGCCAAAAAAGTTATAATCACAAACTCTCAGGCTTTGGTCGCTTGAAATCATCACCTGCACCCCAAATATCCCTCCAGTGCTCTGCCACCAACATGTGGCTGAGCACACTGACAAAGTGTGACCAGGTGACAGGGAGGGCCCCACACCAGCCCACCCCCGGGGCTGCTCCCAAACCCCGCAGCAGGGCAGAGCCCAACCACCCACACGTACTTGTTCCTCCGGGGGGCGCTCTTCCGGGGGTACTTGGGCTGCCTCCGCAGCCGCAGGGTCTTGGGCCTGCGGAAGGTGGGCGACGTGCGGATCTTCTTCTTCTTGTGGCTGTGGACCCCCTTGAGAACGGCCTTCTTGGCCTTCAGCGCCTTTGCCTTCGCCTCTGTCTTCGGAGGCACAGCTATGGAGACACCTCAGTGAGCCAGGCACGGCTTCCCTTCGTCAATGAGCAGGACCTCACCCAACCAAAATGAACCACAAAACGCCCAGTGGCGTTAGTATTTCCCCCCTCCCCCCCAGAACAAACCAATTCCCGAGAGGAAAGAGCCATTTAGTCCTTCCCTCACCAAGATGGGGACACCCCCCCTCAAGAGAACCGGGCAGGCCCATCCCGCCACCTCCACGTGCCCGCACCCAGCACTGCGCCGCAACCCTGTCTCACTTGCCCCGCCCCGCTCAGCCCGCCTCCCTCCGTATACACTCGCACCCCGTGGGGTCCCTCACACCGTCCCGCACCCCCCCACACACAGACCGTTCGCCCCGCGCCCTCACCCTCCTTCTTCGCCTTGGGCGCCATCTTGGCCGGGCGGAAGCCGAAAGGGGCCTCCCGCGCCGCGCCGCACGGGCTTATAGCGCAAGATCTCGCGAGAGCAAGACTGACCCCACCCATTAACCATTGCACCAACTCTCGCGACAAACTTCAAAGCATGCTGGGAATAGTAGTTCTTACATATGATACATCTGCGCATGCGCCGCGCTGTGGGGCATCACGGGAGTTGTAGTCCGGTGCACCACCCGCCGTCGTGGCGGGGTGTACCGGAATGAACCCCGGGGTGGCGGGGGGGGTTACTGGTGTCCCACCGCGCGGGTGGCAGCGCAATGGCCCAGCCCCAGAGGAACCGGCGTCCTGGTCCCTCCCACGAAGGGGGGCGTGGGAGGGGCCAGGACGCCGGTTCCTCCGGGGCTGGGCGTGCAGCGCCGGGCACCGCTATCGGATTTGGGAGGTTCGCGGTAACGGGGACGCCCCGCTTTATCCCCTCCGCCGTGGGGACACAGACGAGGAAGGGAGGGCTTGGTCTTGCGCTGGGATGCGGCGGTGGGACGGTGGTGGCTGTGCAGGGGCGACACGGGATGGGAGGGGACGGGGGACGCTGAGATGGGAATGGAGGGGGGCACGGAGACGGCCAGGCTGCGGGAGGTGGGACACAGGGACAGCGGTCAGCCTGGGATGGCACTGCGGGGATGTGAGGGTGGCTGGGACACGGGGATAGGTGCGGTGTGGGGTCAGTGGTACCCGGGTATGTAGGGGTGTAGGGATAGTGGGGCGTGGGGACAGCTGTATGCCGGGATGTGGGATAGCCACAGCTCAGGGCAGGAGCACAGTGATACCCTGGGATGGCACACTTGGGATGGGGGGTTGATTGGTTGGGACACGGGGACAGCGGAGACACGCGGGACAGCTGCGCCCAGGGTGTGGGGACAACCACAGACAGGGGGCTCGAGGTGGCTGAGTCTGGGGGACAGCCATCCTTGGGGATGCAGGGAGAGTCAGGACATGAGGATTAGCACATCCTGGGAAAGTGGGAGACTATTGGGATAAGGGGACAACCCTGCTTGGGGACACAGACAACGCTATTCTGGAATGCTGTACACGGGGACAGCCGTGACACGGGGACGTCGCCACCCCCTTCTCTCTCTGTCCCCAGGCCTCACAGTGATTCTTGTCCCATCCCTGCTCCCCCCAGCCACCCACCCCGCCTCGGAGACCCCACGGGACGATGAACGTGCTGGCTCCGGTCCGCAGGGACCGGGTCATCGCCGACCTGCCCTCGGTGAGCGGAGGGGACACATCGGCCCGGGGGCGGCCTCGCCGAGCCCCGTGGTCACACCGATGCCCCCCTTTGTCCCCCCGCAGTGTTTTCGGAAGGAGGCCGCCCTGCAAACCCGCCCCGCCTTCCACCCCACAGTGGCCAGCGCCTGCCAGGAGCAGCGGACGGGCACTGTGGGGTGAGTCCGGGGTGGTTTGGGGTACCCACCGCGGGGCTGGAGGGAGGTGGGGACGAGGGACCCCACGGTCCTGCCCACCACGGGTGGGGGTCCCCGGCGTGGGCGCCGCGTGGCTGCCGGCGCTGCCCGTGTGCCGAGCCCTGCGTCACGATCCTGGAATGCGGCGCGGGGGGAACACGGGGTGGGGGAACGCGGGAGTCCGGACTCGGCTGTGGCGGGAGAGCCGGGATGCAGGGAGCTGCGGACCCGGGGGGGCTGTGGGGTGATGCCTCCCCACCCCATGAGCCCCTCTGCCCCCAGTGACCAGTCAGGGGGACGCAGGGGGGGGGGCTCTCCCCCCCCCCCCCTGCTGAGCCGTGCGTCCCCCCCCTCGCTGCAGGTTCAAGATCTCCAAGATCATCGTGGTGGGCGACCTGTCGGTGGGGAAGACCTGCCTGATCAACCGGTAACAGGACCCCCGGAGAGGGGAGGGAGGAGGGGGGAAAGGGGAAATGACCCCCCCCCAAAGGGCGGCAGCGCCTTGGGCTGAGTCCAGCTCTGTCCGGACTCTGGTGCTGAGCATCCCCAGGATGGGGGGGCACTGAGGCCCCAGGGGTTGGAGGGGGGAAACTGGGGGCTGCTGACGAATCCTCACTCCCACCCCAGCTTTTGCAAGGACACATTCGACAAGAACTACAAGGCAACCATCGGAGTGGATTTCGAGATGGAGCGGTTTGAGGTGCTGGGGGTGCCCTTCAGCCTTCAGCTGTGAGTAGGCACCGGCCCAGCCCCCTCCCCACACACCCCTGTGGGCCCCTCTCACCTCCCACACCCCCCCAGGTGGGACACGGCCGGCCAGGAGCGCTTCAAGTGCATCGCCTCCACTTACTACCGGGGAGCACAAGGTGAGGTGCCCACCCTGTCTGACCTCTCTGTCACACTGTCCCTGTCCCCATCTCACCCCTCCTTTCCACTCCAGCCATTGTGATCGTCTTCGATGTCAATGATGTGGCGTCCCTGGAGCACACACGGTAGGTGACACATGGCCAAAGGGCCCAGATGGGACTGAGAACGAGCATGAGGGGGCTCTGAGGCTGGATGGAGAGGGAAGACCTGGGCAGGGGCCACAGGACTGCTGGCAACACTGTGCTGTGGTGTGCCAGCAAGCTTGGCCACCGGCTGGTGACAGTGGCCCCCACAGGCAGTGGTTGGCTGACGCTCTGAAGGAGAATGACCCCTCCAACGTGATCCTCTTCTTGGTGGGCTCCAAGAAGGATCTGAGTGTGAGTGTGTCCCCCTCCCTGTGGGCAAACTGCACCTGGCTCAGCAGGGCTGTCCCTGTCACCCACTCCCCCTGGCTTTGTTGGCAGACACCAGCACAATACAGCCTGATGGAGAAGGATGCTCTCAAGGTGGCCCAGGAGATGCAGGCGGAGTACTGGGCTGTCTCCTCGCTCACTGGTGGGTTCCAGGATGAGTGGGGGGAATGCAGATCCCGGCGTCCAGCTGGGTGAGGGGGCACTCAGGGGGTCTCATCCTGCGGGGCAGGGGAGAACGTGCGGGATTTCTTCTTCCGTGTGGCGGCCCTGACCTTCGAGAGCAGCGTGCTGGCCGAGCTGGAGCGCAGCCACACCCGCAGGATCGGCGACACCGTGCGTGAGTACCCCCGGCTGGCCCCACGTGGGTGCCTCCCCTTATCCCCTACACACCCACCCACCCTCCTTTCTCTGTCCTGCAGGGATCAGCAGCAATGAGAGCGACCTGTACCTGTCGACACCCCGCAAAAAACCCAAGTGCTGCCAGTGAGGGGGCACCCCCTGCACCCACCATGCTCACACCTATGGACCAAAGAGGGGTGACCCTGGCCGACCCCGAGGAGCCGTCCCTGCCACTCCCCAGCCCCCCTGGCCCCTTGCCTGCCCAGGCACCCCCGGCCAGGGTGGGCAGGAGCACCCATGCGGCTCCTGTAGCTATGCAAACCCAGGTACTGCTCGCAGGGGGAGATGCCCTTTTGTCTTAATAAAATATTTTTTATGCTTTTCAAGAAAAATGTGGGGCAGAGGGCTGGGGCTGCAGCCCCCAGACTCATGGGCAGGTGGGAGGACGGAGGCAGGGAGGATGGATGGCTGCCACCGAGGAGGAGTTCCATCTCTAGTGGATGTCTGGGGCATCCTGCCCTGCAGAGCCAGCAGCCCTGCACTCCTTGGGGGAGTGCAGGGGACACATGAGGTGCCAGCCCCCTGTCAGTCAGTCCCAGCCAAACTGGTGGTGATCGAAGCGGGGCTGCAGGTGGGGGGGGACACAGTGGGAGCACTTGTAGCGCTCCCGGATCCACCGCCCGCCCTCGCTGTCCTCTATGCAGATGGCAGCGACACCTGTGGGGACATGGAGGGGCTCAGCACCAGGGTGTGAGGATGGTGGTCCCACTGCACCAAAAGGTGCACCCAATGGTGCCCTGGTACCCCCAGTCCTACCTGCCACGACCCCCCCCCAGCCGCTCCACCAGCCCGATGGCCGCTCGCATGGTGCCCCCAGTTTCAACCCACTGGTCCACGAGAAGGATGCGCAGACCTGGAGGGGGCAGAGGCTGTGGATGAGTGCCCAGTGCCCACGCTGGCAGCCCCTCTCAGAATGGGAGCACTCACCCGGCGAGATGGCATCAGTGCGGACTTCCATCACCTTCTCCCGGCCCGAGTAGTCGGTGTAGGGCTGTGCCACTGTCTGCACGCAGAGGTGACCGGCTTTGCGGATGGCCAGGAAGCCTTTCTGCAGCACGGCCGCAGCGGAAGCACCTGGGGGTGGGCATGGCACCATCAGGTCCCACATGGACAGGGCATGGGGGGGATCCCTGCGCTCACTCGTGTCCCCACTCACCCAGGATGAAGCCCATGGCATCGATGCCAGCCACCATGTCGATGGGATCTCCCTGGAAGGGCTGCAGCAGGTCGGCCACACAGTCCTGCAAGCCCTGGGGGGAGATCAGAGGTGCTGGGTGCCCACAGCCCACCACGGGCACCTGCAGCCCTGGCACCGGTGCTCGTGGGCAGGGCTGGGTGCCCCGGCAGCCCTGCAGAGGTGCAGCCCACCCTGGCACCCCTGCGGGGGCCACCCGCCCCGGGCACTGGGTACTTGCGGGTGGCAGTAGAGCCGGGAGGGGTCCAGCCAGGCGTAGTTGGGACCCTTGACGTTGGGGGCCATGAGCGCCAGGTACCAGCCCTTCTCCCGGGCAGCTGGGACGTGACACAGGTCCATGTGTGGGGACTGCAGGCACTGCGAGTACTGAGCATGTAATGGGGGTGAGACTCCCCACCTGCAGCCCCCACAGGGCTCCCTGTGGCATGGTGTCCCCCACCCTCCCCACCCACGCCCACACGTGGGCACCCTGAGGGCCCAGTGTGCCTTTCTCAGCTCCGTACCTGGGTGCTGGTGGCGAAGCTGAGCTGATCTGGACTGTCACAGACAGCGACAGCTGAGCAGGGGCAGCCCCTGCAGCACTGGGGCCCCGCCAGCGCCCTCGGCCAGCTGGGCCCTGGGCTGCTGCCAGGCGGGAGCCCTTCCCATGAGCTGGGGATGTGCCCCAGCCAGGCAGCGTTGTGGTTGGGAGCACCAGGGTTGGCTGTTTGCACCCCACAGGAGTGTCCCCAGCACCGGCTGCCTGTGCCAGCGGTGACAGGGCATGGTGTGGGTGGCACAGTGCTCGAGGTACCCCGTGGGTGCAGTGGGTGCAAGGGTCAGTGAGCCAGGGTGATGCTCAGGGTGCTGCCCCTGCACCCCCCTGCACTCCCGAGGGATCTCAGTCAGTGCAGGGACTTTCTGAGACCACCATTTTGGGGTGTCCAGGCACCGTCCTCCCTGGCTGAACGCTGGCTCCCGCAGCATCCCAGCTTGCCAGGGCTGTGTCTGGATTGTCAATGGGCTCCAAGGCCCGGAGCTGGCCAAGAGGGACAGACCTGGCAGCGTGCTGGGAATGCCGGTGCCTTGTGGGCTGCCAGCCCAGCTGGGCATGAGGCACTGGGCTGTCCCGTGGAAGGAACAGTGGGATGGGATGCAGGGCCACAGGGAACATCCATGGGATGGGATGTGGGGATGCCATAAGCATTCATGGGATGGGATGTGGAGAGCATCTGCAGGATCGGGCATGGGGACATGGAGAGCATCTATGGGCTGGGACACAGGGCTGCAGGAAGCACCCGTGGAATGGGACTTAGGGATGCAGGGAGAGCATCGTTCTCCTGTCGGGGCCGCTCCGGGGCCGGGGGCTGTGCAGGGGCGGGTGCGTCACGGGGCGGGGGTTTGGGGACGGCTCGTTACCGGCCCCGGCACATCACCCCACCGGCTGCCACAGCAACGGGGCCGGTCCCACCGGGAGGGGTGAGCCCTTCCCCGCGGGCTGCCGGCGCGGGACGTGCCGCGGCTCCGGGAGCGGCTCCAGCACCGCGGCTCTGCGGGACCCTCCGCACGGTGCCGGGCCGTGCCAAGCCGTGCCGGGCCGCCCCGCGTGGGCGGGCTGCGCGACTCTATAAGGCGGCCCCACGGCAGCCAACGGCGCGGTGCCATGTGCGCCCCGGGGCTGCTCTGCCGCCTCCGCCTCCTCCTTCTCCTCCTCCCGCTGGCAGTCGCCCCCGGAGCGGCCCCGCCGGGACGGCCCCGCGCCCGCCGCGGGCTCACCTACCCCGGGACACTGTGGTGCGGCGCGGGCAGCAACGCGGATACCTACGAAGAGCTGGGTAAGGGCAGCGGGGCAGCTGCTACCTGTATCTTCCCATCCCATCCCTACCACCCCATCCCATCCCTCCCAGTTCTTCCTATTCCACTCCATTCCATCCACTCCCTTTCTTTCCTTCCCATCCCATCCCATCTCTTCCCATTCCATTCCCATCCCATTCCCAGTCCCCAGTGTAGCGCTGGGTAAGTCCCCACCAATCCTGATCCAGTTGCATCCCAGTGCTGATCTACTCCGGTCCCCACCCCCGTGCTAGTTCAATCCCTGTCTGCCACAGTTCAGTCCCCAGCCAAGCACCAGTCCAGTCCTAGTTTCTCTCTGCCTAGTCCCTCTCACAAGACTAATCTATCTTTGTGCTGGTCTAGTCTTGATCCACTCTTTGTCTCCAGCCTCATCTGTGGTCTATCCCACTCCCATTCTGGTCCCCATCCCAGTGCTGGTGCACTCCCAGTTGCTATCCTGATCCCAGCCTAGACTGTCTCCTGGTCCTGGTCCAGTCCCGGTCCCCTTCCTGACCCCAGTCTAGTCCTACTCTCATCCCTACTGCGATGCTGATGCAGCTCCAGTCCCCATCCCAGTGCTAGCCTTGTCCACACCCAAGTACCAGTCCAGTCGCAGTCCCTACCCATCCCACTACAATTCCAAGCCCAGCTCAGTCAAATCTAACCCCTATCCCAGTCCCAGCGCAGCTCAGCCCCACTCCAGCCCTGATCCCAACCCCATCTAGCCCCAGCTCACGCGTGCAGGCCCCTCAGCTCTGCCTGTACCTCCCTGCAGGGGAGCACCGGGACACAGACCGGTGCTGCCGGGACCATGACCACTGCCAGCACGTCATCCACCCCTTCACCGCGCGCTACGGGTACCGCAACCTGCGCTGGCACACCATCAGCCACTGCGACTGCGACCGCAGGCTGAAGGAGTGCCTGCGGAGGGTGAACGACACGGCCTCCCGGGCGGTGGGCCAGGCCTTCTTCAACGTCATCCAGGTGCCCTGCTTCGAGTTCACCTACAGGGAGGAGTGTGTGGAGCCCTACCTCTACGTCTGGTGAGTGCCTCCCACCACCGTCCCCCTGCCTGGCCCCGCTGGAGGTCACCTCACCTGGTGCCTCCTCTCTCTGCAGGTGCAAGGCGTACAACACGGTGGCCGTCGCGGTGCCCAGGGAGCCGGTGCTGTATGAGTTTGGTGGGGAGCTCATCGACCGGGCAGCGAGACCCAGGGGGGTCCCTCTGAGCCCCCCTTGGAACAGTGTGGGTGGAGGAACCCTCTCTGTGGACCACCACACTGAGACAGCCCTCAAGTCAGCCAAGAAAGGGAGGAAGGGGAAGAAGAAAGACAAGAAAAAGAAAGGAAAAGGTCTGAAAAAGAAAGGCCCTTCTGAGAAGGGGGCACAGAGCCGTCCTGTACCTGCTGCCCCCGGTGACCCCTCTGTGGGCCAGGACACCTGGGCTCTGCTGCCATCCTGGGAGGAAGCATCCAACACCATCCTGAGCGATGCCCCAGTGCAGAAGGGCTTGGGCAGGGAGCCAACGCCGACCACTCCATCCCCAGTCCCTACTGCCAGCGGGAAGGGGAAGAGGAAAGAGAGGAACAGAAAGAAGAGGCTGAAAAGCAAAGCTGAGTCCAAGCCCACACGAGAGTCCTGAGCCCCCCTTGTCCCATGTGGGTCTTGGCTGTGAAATAAAGTTACATCTGCTTGAGCAGATGGTGCTGCCTCAGCCCTGTCTGTGGGGGAAAGGATGGCACTGGGGGTGGCATCCAGGGGAAACCCCGAGGCTGATCCCACAGGAGGGGAACACCCGGAGCTGGGTGGGTATTGAGGGGTTTGAGCTGTTCCTCACAGCATCCACCATTGTCCTGGGCACTGGGGACACGAGTCACTGTTCTGGCTGGGACACAGCTCCCAGACCCACACAGGCACAGGGCTGAGCCCCAATTTTAGCTACCCTGCTACAAAGGGTTAAATTCCAGCTCCCCAGGCATGTTTTTATCTGGAATTTCTCTGAATTGCACCACCCCAGCTCTCTCATCCTCTTAACCTGCTGCCCTTCCAGTGCTCCCACACCAGCACCACTTCTTTTCTGCAGCCCCCAGCAATGGCTGCTCTGGGAGGAACAGGGCCTTGGCCCTCCCTGAAGGCTCCTCAAATGCCTACAAAAGTTCCTTAGCCTGGGACAATAGAAGCTTTTCCAGCCCTAGGACAAAGGCAGATACTGCCTGGGAAGAGCTGGGGCAGGGAATGCTGCCTGTGTCTCTGCCTCGTGGATGGGGATTGTGCCTGGGCTCCTCTAGTGAGGAATTTGAGAGCCCAAGGACCCAAGGGCATTGCCTCCACTCCTCCAAAGTGCTTCCCAAGGAGGAGCATGGCTCAGCCCAGAGTCCTGGTGAGGTGGCAGAAAGATCCTCCTGCACCAGCATCAAATATCAGGACCAGAAAAAGCTGGAATTACAGGAGCTGAGCCCTGGCTCCTGTTTTGCCTCAGGAGATCAGACAGCACAGGGGTCAGAGAGCAGAGCTGCCTCATGCAAACCCTGCTGCTCCTGGAGGAGTGAACAGAGCAATCCCAAATCCCTGACCTAAGCGGATCACAGGAGCCCAGGGGGGAATACCAAGGTTGTAGGGAGGCATCACTCTCTGTCCAGTGCTGCTAATGGGAGCAAAGCCCCTGTGGCAGCCACAGCATCACAGCAGGAAGCACAGATCTGTGCCACGTGGGCAGCTTCCCAAAAGTAGAGTTTTTATTAATGGCAAGGGAAAACTAAAAACAAAGACAGCCAAAAAGAAACCAACAATACACAACCAGCCCCCCTCCCACTTACAGGTCCAACTGGTAAGAAGCTGCTCCCAGTCAAATTCCCAGCATACAGTTTCATAAATAAAGAAAACAGTGACAGGTTAGTCCACCTGCAATCTCGGAGCTGCAGGTCCCAGCCCATGGTTCTCTGGTCCAGACTGGGTGGTTCTGTGAGGAACAGGACCCTGTCAGCCCCCCAGCACTGCAGAGGGGGTGGAAATGAAGCCAGGACCTGCATTTCTCTGTGGAAAGAGCTTTGCTTTGTCTCCCAGGTTGCTGCCATTCTTCAGGAGCATTTACATGCAAAAAAGACCTTTGTTTCCTAAGATCTGCTGTTCCTGCTCATTTCCTAGCAAAGGAGGCTGACCAGGAGCACTTGGAAGGAACAAAGACTCTGCTTCCGTAGAAAATCCCTACTAACAAAGCAGGAGAGGGGAGAATTCGTGCAGCAGGAACTTTCCCTCTCAGAAATGTCTCTCCCCATCACTGGCAGTCCCTCTGGGACACTGCACTGGGCTGTTTCTGAAAGGACTGAAGTTATCTACGTTATCCACCCCCCTCCCAGTACCTCTCCCAACCCAACAGCCATGGGCCTCCGGGAGCTCCTGGTATGACACACCCGAAACAAAACGTTTTTTAACAACAGAAATCAGCTTCTCTGTGACAGTTTCAGCACATAGAAGGCAACGCCAAGCACCAAAAGGAAGAAGGAGCATCGACTTCCACCACGGAACTCTGCTCTGAGCAAATCCTAAGGGAAAGGGCAGGGTGCAGGCAGTAAACCTCTCAACTAGCATTCAGTAAAAACACTATTTATTCACCCCTCTTGGTTACAGTCGGGCAGGGTAAGCGGGTATGGAGGAGGATGCCATGCACTCCGGGCTGCTCCGCCGCAGCAGTTTAGCAGCAGTTTAGCCCCCGTGTCTGCCCCGCACTC